GGTCTTACGGGTTTGAAACGACACGAGGGTGAGTAATTAATGACAGAATTTTTGGGTGAACTATCCCTTTAAGCTTTTTCAGTTCTATGAATGCAGTCGTGTTTCGGTCCGACATTAATTCCAGCGTCACTGTTAGCCACAGTCCTATGGCTCTCACATAAGGACACCTCACACTACTACCTGCAGTTCATATTTTAAGTGTGTATTATTAAAGGAACATATTTTTTATGAAGTTGTTCGGATATATTTCAAGTAAATATTACGTCAAATTGGTTTGGCTGACAAAAACCTTTGGGAACCCCTTTGTTTCATACATGTTCTACTTTCTTGAGAGATGAAATAACGACTTTATTCAACAATTCGTCTCCTCCGCATCACCGTAGTGCCATTGTGGAGAATAACCGCTGAACGTAAACAATTGTGTTCCAAAGACGAACAAAGCTTTTACGGGTTTGGCACGACATGGGGGTAAGTGATTAATGACAAAAGTTTCATGTTGGGGTGGAGTAACCCTTTAAGAAATTAAGAATGATTTACTGCCATTATGTGAATAATATGTAATCATGTAATCCATAAAAAGTAACTAATCTGATTATGAGCATTATAAAATGTAATATACTCTAACTACAAGTACTTGATTTTTGGGTAACACTTTATTTGAATGTATCCTTGTTACACATACTACATGTACTTACTATTATAATAACAATTAATTATGCATAATTACATGCAAGTAACCCTACAAGCCAAAGCCTAATCCTAACCCTAACTATTTAGTAAGTACATGTAGTTAATTAATATTACTCAGCACTTAAATGTATAATTACATTGTAACAAGGACACCTTAAATTAAAGTGTAACCGTTTTTTGGAATCTGATTACGTATTGCCACAACTTTAAAACCACTGACAGACAGTGTTGGGGGTAACACATTACAAGTAACGCAAGTTACATAATCAGATTACTTTTATCAGATTACTACAAGTAATGCATTACTTTTTAAATTTACAAGAAAACATCTACTTATTTGAAAACAAGTTACTTTTTCAAATAAGTTACACCAGTTAACACACCAACACACATGTCCTTCAAGTGTTCAATCCCGTTTTATTAACCAATATATTTGCTGCTGACCTTCGATGATCCAGTTCAACCATACTATTAAGTAAAAATAACTTTAGATGAACATAACATGTTGCGCCTTCTACTGTACAGACGTGAATTTACATTTTCTTCAGCCTGAGGGAAGAAATGGGCTTTTACAGTTGCCAAAAATAAAACTTTTTTCATATAAAAAAAACAAACATGCAAGCCCAGCCCAGAAGACAAAAAGTAATGCATTACTTTCCATTAAAAAAGTCACTAAGTAACACAACTTTTACTTTTAAAAGCAACTTTCCCCAACACTGCTGGCAGGTGAAGTGAATAGCATGTATTGTTACAGTGGCAGGGGTTGTGATATACTAGGCAGCAAGTGAAGTCAGTTCTCAAATTCCATGTGTTGGAAAATCGGCTTTGACAAGGGCCAAATAACGAAGTCAGAGCATCTCCTAAACGGCGAATCTGGTGTGCTTCTGGTATGCAGTGGTTTGACTTAAAGGGTATGCTGCTAATGTCAGATACCACAGCACACATTCAGAGGTCTTGTGGAGTCTGTGCCTTATAAAATGGGCAACACTCCACCCTCAGCACTATTTTGCATGTTATTTCCCTTGCAAAGGTGTTAGCCAATCATAACAGAGCACATTTACCAAGATATATGAGGTGGCAAGAACAGCGTGTTTCAGGATCAGAAGGTCAGAGAAAGTTGGAAGAACATAATGAAAAACAAAACACTTGGTTTGCACATCTCTAAGGCCTCTATATTATCAACATGATCCAAAAATTATCCACAATCTACTACATGCCTTACACTCTTAAAAATAAAGGTGCTTAAAAGGTTCTTCACAGTGATGCCATAGAAGAACCATTTTTGGTTCCAAAAAAAAAAAAAAAAAAACATTTAGTAAAAGGTTTTTTGAAGAACCATCTCTTTCTTCCCTTTTATAATCTGAAGAACCTTCTTTCGCCACAAAGAACCTTTTGTGAAACAGAAAGGTTCTTCAGATGTTAAAGGTTCTTTATGGAACCATTTAGACAAAAAAAGGTTCTTCTATGACATCTTGAAGCACCTTTATTTTTAAGAGTGTATGCCTTCAAATTGATAGTTTATACTTTTTTTTTTTTTTTTTGGTAAGTAAAAAGACCTTTTAGTACAGCTCCATAAAAACATCCTTTAGGTCATTATACACCTGTCATTTTTGCTGTGAATTTTTTTGTTGTTGCTCATTTTATGTTGTTAATATTATTTCTATATTGTTATAAAGATCTCATTGACTTACCATTACAAGCTATCAGAATTTCATCAAAATTTGGGGGGTAAATTTATAGCACTAAACTGCACCAAAATGCATATTTAACTCAGTTTGGGCCTCTGAATATAACCAATGTGTTTTTTTGTTTCTTTCTTGAGAACAAGCTCCATATTATCTTATATATCACACTAGCTTTATGAGCCGTAAAAGCCTGATGCATCAAATATGATAATAATAATTTTTTTAGCACATCCCCAAGTTATGCAGAGGTCAGAAAGATTTGACCGCAATATCAAAAAGAAGATACTACACCATATTGAGCAACTATAGACCAATATCAAATCGTCCTTTTATAGGCAAGGTTATTGAAAAGGTAGTCTTTAATCAGCTGAACAAATACAAAAACTCAAATGGATACCTGGACAATTTTCAATCTGGTTTCCGACCGCATCACAGCACAGAGACAGCACTCATTAAGATAATAAATTATATTTGCTTAAATTCTGATTCTAGCAAAATATCAGTGCTGATACTACTAGATCTCAGTGCTGCGTTTGACACTGTAGATCATAACATACTACTAGAGAGACTGGAAAACTGGGTAGGGCTTTCTGGGATGGTAATCAAATGGTTCAGGTCATACTTAGAAGGGAGAGGTTATTATGTGAGTATAGGAGAGCATAAGTCTAAGTGGACGTCCATGACATGCGGAGTCCCACAAGGCTCAATTCTTGCACCGCTCTTGTTTAGCCTGTATATGCTCCCACTAAGTCAAATAATGAGAAAGAACAAAATTGCCTATCACAGCTATGCAGATGACACCCAGATTTACCTAGCATTATCACCAAATGTCTACAGCCCCATTGACTCCCTCTGCCAATGCACTGATGAAATTAACAGTTCGATGTGCGAGAACTTTCTTCAGTTAAACAAGGAAAAAAACTGAAGTCATTGCATTTGGAAACAAAGATGAAGTTCTCAAGGTAAATGCATACCTTGACTCTAGGGGTCAAAAGGGTTCACACAAAATAAGGGGAGTCCGCTTTTAGTTATTATGCCGCCCGCAGTTGGAACCAGCTTCCTGAAGAGATCAGATGTGCTAAAACATTAGCCCCATTTAAATGCAGACTCAAAACTCATCTGTTTAGATGCACATTTATTGAATGAACACTGTGCATTGTCCTAACTGATTGCACTATAATTTATGTACTGTATAATCATTTTCTGTTCTTAACTGTTTTAAATTCATTTTAAACTTCTTAAATCCATTTTTAAATCATTTTCAAAGTTTTTAAATTCCTTGTTTTATTGTTGTGATTATTTTTTTATTATTATTTTCTTTTCTTTTATGTAAAGCACTTTGAATTACCATTGTGTATGAAATGTGCTCTATAAATAAACTTGCCTTGCCTTAGATGATTTCATTTGTAAGGCTTTGCAGGGTTAATATATTTTGTTAATGAAAACATGCCTTTTATTTGTTTCCACTGAATGCGATTTATCAACGTGAATGGACTTGTTTTTTTATTTGTTGTTTACTTATTTGTCCTTAAAAATAGGAAAAGAAATGAGCAATGGTATGCTTTAGTTTTAGTGCTGCTTTACACTTTGGAAATCCACTACAGTCTGATCTAGACATTGCGTCATTCTGGTGCTATACTGATTTTTGCAGTGATATTGAGCTCATGGTCGTGAACATCAACT